CCTCTTGTAAGGCCTCTTCCAGCTGCTTCTTCATGAGCTCCTCTTGTTGCTGCGTTTTCTGAGCCTTAAAACATTTGAAATATAACATGGTTATAGAAAGTATGTTGAGTTTATGACTCAAGTACATAAAAAAGTATTTAATCATTGTTATTGTGTCAGGGTGATAACATACCGTTCCATAATATTTAACTTTTAAACAGAAACACAGAACGTTTTTGTAAAACCTCTCACCTCTAGCTGCCTCTTCGTCTCACTGAAGGACTTCTCTAACGTCTCCATGCAGTGCATCTTGGTTCGGAGCGTCTCCAGCTGACCCTGCAGCTCCTTCACCTGCTCCTCTCTCAGCGGATCAGTCTGCTGAGGCTCGCCACCCAGATAGGCGACCTGCCTCTCCGTGTCATCCACCTTCTCTTTCAGCAGCAGGATGTTCTGGCTGTACCTGCAACGAGAAATAAACAAAAATCAACGAAAGTAAATGAAGTTTAAAATGTCAAACTTCTTTCGTTTAGTGATTCAAAACGGTGAGGATTTTCTGTTTGTGTCTCTGGAATTTGCATCTGATTGTGTTTTTGATGTTCAGATAAAAAAGAAGCAGGTACTAAGGGTGGCTTCACACTATGGACCCGGGCCTGGATTTGAGTGACTGCTTGAACCGAACTTAATTTTAAACGGCTCCTGTCGCTTCAAAACCGTCATATTTGCGCAGCACAGGCCCGTTTAGTCCTCTGAGCTGCATGATAGATGTGTGTGTGTACAAAGAGTGTAGTTGTTAGCATCTTAGAAACAACAACATCCACATTAGGCAGGATGGACTCAGTTGCTTCTTATTTTTTTCTGCTTTTTGGCAGATTTGCAAACCAACTACAGCCACCTGCAGACCAGCGGGGGAGAGTGGAGGGGGGAGCAATCATAATCAGGCAAGGTACGAAACTATCGTGCCTAATGTGAAAATGTCCTGACTTGTTTTGGGGCTTTCAGAACCTGTGTTGAACATTCTTTGTTACTATTTTCTGATATTTTTAGTCTAAATAAATATCATATAATGTAATGCAGAGCTCATTTAACAATGGTGAATGAATGAATATACTTGTTAGCCATAGCCGAGAAAGACTTTGCTATCCTGGCGAACAGAGAAGTGAGAAAAAAATATAAAAAGACCATAAGAGGCTCCAACTGGGGCTTACATTTGCAAGTTGTCCTGATCACAGGTGGAGCTGAAGTCATCTGAGGGCCTGTCTGTTTCCTGGACTTGTCCGCTGGTTCCGGTTTCCTCTGGCTGGGTGTGACTGAGCCTTCGGAGGGGGATCACTGGTGTTAGAGGGCACGGCTTTGCAAAGGACTTGTCCGAAGACGAGCAGCGGTACAGTTTTGGTTTGGAGGTAGATGGCTCAACTTCTTCCACAGCCAGCTTCCTTTTGGTCTTCTTTGTAACATGAGCTGCTTTGGCACCGTCTTTTTGTCCTTTTATCAGGTTGAGTTTGATGTCTTTGAGGGGCCGCTGGACGAGGATGTAGTCGAACTCCGCTGTGTTTCCAATTACAGGAACCCCAAGTTGAATGGAGTCGCCGAGCCTCAGCTGATGGGATTCTTCAGAAGGTATGCGGTTTCCATTCACCCACACACCATTGAGGCTCTAAAGGAAAAAAAAAAAAAGCAACAGCAACAAGTTTTTAATGACATTGACAAAAATGTATTTATCCATATATTTATTATTGAAATAATAGATAGCAGTTGTCCTGAGCTGGACACCATTAAAAATGTTTCAAATGAAAAGAAGAACTTTTGACATTAGTTTAAACTGTGTGGCAGCTAATAGAGAGGCAGACGAGGCTTTGGATGAAAATGAGGCTTAATGCAGTCATGATTGTGATATACAGTAATAAAAAAAACAAAGAATTTTACAAATTCATGTGTATGTGATGTCTGGACGCCCTGTTTTCTTTTTTTCTTTTGTTTGTCTCGTCTCCCTTTTTGTTGGTATTTGTTGTTTTTGTACTGTCTGGCTAGAGTGGGTGTGTAATTGGTTGACCGGGAACTTATTGGGGAAGGTTTTGTTGTTGTTGTTTGAGATTCAAGATTCTGTTTATTTGTTGTTAAGGGAAAACAGGGAAAAATAAATCTGCAGACTGGGAGAAGAAACTCTTTGTGTCATGAATACATGCATGTTTTATATATAAAATTTTGCACGGACTTGCTCCTCCTCCTTTGAAGGACTGTATAAAGCTGAAGTCTGCCAGTGGGATCGGCACCGGGGCCCGAGGAGACTGTGAGGTCCCACACAGACGCACCACATTCGGACAAACCGTTCTGTCAGTCAAAGGAACTAAAATACTGGAAAATTCTCCCACTCACAATAAAAGAGACTCACAAACATGTGCAACCTTCAAAACACACCTCAAACAGCGGACAAAAGAAAACCAAGTCTGTGACCACCTTTAACCTTTAACCTCTATTATTGTCTTGTGTCACTCGTGCTTTTGTATTTGCATTTTATTTGTCTTTCTGTTACCTGCCCAGGGACAACAGATGGAAACTAGCACTTCTGCTATAATCTGGCATTTTTACAGCTGTAATTGTTGCAGCTGTTCATTAATATGCACTGTCCCTAACAAACAAATAAACAAATAAATAAATACAAACAACTGCTGTGATGTAACTACTGTTTGCATTTAAATGTGAGATATAAACTATGACAGAAATTAAAGGTTTGGGGTCTCTGTAATGCTATGTGTATGTACTATCAAATGGAGAATATTTATAGGCTAAAATAAAACACCAACAATCATAAAATAAAAAGGCAAATGTTCCTTACTGCTAAAAATCAAAAACTTTGTTACCTTTCTATCTGTTACAGTCCACTGGCCATCATCCCTTTGTTTGAAAGTGCAGTGAAGTCTGGAGATCATCAGAGGACAGCTTGAAGACAGCAGCTGGTAGGTCACATCCACACCACGTCCGATGGAGATCTGCAGAGTCACAACACAAACATCAACACCAGCCAGGTAAACACAACACAAACATCAACACCAGCCAGGTAAACACAACACAAACATCAACACCAGCCAGGTAAACACAACACAAACATCAACACCAGCCAGGTCGCTTCAAAGCTCCTGTGCAGCTCGTTTAGCTAATTAAACAGGTGTGTGCACTTCGGTAACAACTTCCTGAAGAAAAACAGAAACGAGTTACGGTCGAAAAAATGTTTTTATGTGTAAAAATACAACTCCAGCGAGAACTTGAGAAAGTTAAAGGGTTTAATTAGCCACTTAGCTAGAACTAGCAAAACTGCACCTCAGTGTTTTCGAACAAGCGAAGCCAGTCTGAGTTTCTCCCGACTCTCATCAAACATAAGACCTCTGAGTCCGAGCACTCGTCCTCCTCGGCCGCACAAGAGTCCGTCGTGACGGTGTCCATCTTATCTCAATCTGTTGACGGCTAACACAACATGAAACATAGCTGAATATGTGGCTCCTCCGTCCATAGAAAAGACGGAGATAGCAGCGGAGCGTCAAGCTCGCGACTGACAGGACGAGACCGGAAAGAGGCTGATTGAGTTTCAAAATAAAAGTCGTCAGAAACGCGGCTTTACTGTTGAAGAGAGCTTGATTTTAGTTATCTTTTCAGAAATGTATCCTGCGTTTTTGTAGTCCTTTCTACATAAAAATAATGTAAATTAATATTTAGTTGAGGGACATTGTTTTTACACGTAGTTTACTAATCGATAAGAATCATAATATCATAATGTTTTTAAGCAGTGGTGGTTTTAGTCCACTTTTACTGAGGGGGGCCAAACGGGGGCCAGTTGTTTTGTCAGACGGGAACATTAAACCCGGTGAAAAATAGACAAAGATGATTGCTTTAAAAAAATATATAAATATTATGACAAATAAAAGCACACATCATTAAATACCATGATTTATATTTGTTTCAGTAACAGTATTTAATACTAGATTGTGAGTCCGGTTGTTGAGTCAAATACTGTTGTAGTGGCAATCTAACAATAAAAAGTGCCACTGGAGGGAATTTCAAGTCATTTCCAACTCATGGTGGGTAAAAAAGGAAAAAAGGGAAAGTTAATTACGTTATGTTAATTACGTTTGCAGTATTTATTTATCAACAATCTTAAAAAACACCAACAAAAAGACAGGTGTAGGCCTATTCTGCATCAGACGAAACTTGCTCGTAAACATAGATAAAGTCTAAACGCGCCGGACAACATCTTCACACACTTATGGTTGAAAAACTGTGTGGCTTCCACTAATTCCCTCTCCCCATTCACCTGTGTCTCCCCTTTCTACCTACCTGTAATTGCCAACTATGCTCAGATGCGCAGGTGACGTTTGCAGCAGAAAACGTCCACACAACCAACCACACACACAAACCACAACACACAAGCGACAACAACTGTGTATGTGTTATTAGGGGTGGCCACAGGGGGGGGACCAAGCTCAGTGTTACAGGGGCACTGGACCCCTGTTGGCCCCTGCCTAGAACCGCCCATGTTTTTGGGAACCAATAAAGCCTTACACGTGGGAAGGCTTTAAGTTTACACTTTGCCCATTTTATCCTCCCCCAAGACACACTCCCAAATTTAAAGAGCAAGAGTATAGAAAATAAATAGGCTACAAAAATTAATACAATTAACCGATTTTTTGTACACTAAACCTGTTGAAAATATATATTTTAAATGTCTTGCACAGAATCAAGTTTGTGCTTTTTTTTTCAATTTCATGTTTTAAATGTTTCACAAATCCACCACACAGATTGTTACACAGGTCATTATCAGTCAAACACAGAGCTTGTTATATGTTATGATGGGCTATTTCTTAAGTTTGAAGATATATATATTTTTTTTTCAATGAAAAAAGTATTTAATAAAAAACAAAACATGATTAATCCCAACATTTACACTTTTACAATTCAACACTTCCGGTTGCCGCTCACTCGTGCGACTCCGCATCTCACATCGCGCGCTCCCCCCTGAGCTCCAGGCGGGACTTCCTCTGTGGTGCGGATGCGAAATTCAGAGTGAGCAGGCAGAAAGGGCTTGGTCGGGGTGTCACTAGTGTATGTGCGGCTCTGGATAGCAGAAAACCGGGCTGACGAAGCCGCCGCCGCCGCTCCTGTTGCTGAAGCCCCGTAGATGAATCTCCAAGTCGGCTATGCTGCCCTGAGAGCTCCGCGTGTACCCGCCCTGCCAACATGTCTGATGTCAACAAGACTATTCAGAAATGGCACGCCAGTTTTAGGAAAGGCACGGACTTTGACTCGTGGGGACAATTAGTGGAGGCTATAGATGAGTACCATATGTAAGTTGCGTTCAACATGTGTGTCATTACATCTTTTTCACAAACACGGTTTTAATCCTGTGAGCAACGAGTGGATCCTCTTCTCATTTTAAACCCATCTCTGCGTAAAGTCTGCAGGGCGCCTCTGTAGCGTACAGAGGCTGCACGGGGTGGGGGGTTGGGGGGGGTTGGGGGGGCTTCACAAGAAGTTCACAGCCTGCCGAGCTGTCAGTCAGCTCCCACAGCAGTAAACAAACCCTACCCATCCATGACGTGATGTGGCAGTGGTTTGCAGAAGGGACCAGGCAGGCAGGCAGGCAGGCAAGGCTGCTGTGTGCATGTTTGCATCCCTGCTTCATCCAACAGGCATTTCGAGTTCAGGGAGAGTCAGTCATTTCATGTGTCATTTAAAAAATCCTCAGGAAATACGCGCAGTTTGTTTCATTATGTGTCATGCAGTGCAGAAATGGGCCAATATTCCTGGGAGTATTGAGAAATAGTCAGCCACACCCTCTCATTGTTATGGGTGGGTTTTCATCTGTGCACTGAGGAATGTTTCCTGCTTTCTCATAAAATCACTTACTTTGCACATTGTTTAGGATGTCATCTGCTTCTCAACTAATTCATTTAAAAAAAAAAAAAAATCTGGAATTGCACTTATAATGTCAGATCTATACCGCGACAAGCTATTTTGTTGACCACAAGAGGGCGCTGAAATGCACAATTAGGCACTAATGTAATCCATACATAACAAGTGGTGCTGCAGAGCCTTAACGCACGTTGTTGTTGTTGTTGTTTTTTGTTGTTGTTGTTGTGTAGTTTAGCAAGACATCTGCAAAAAGAGGTCCAGTCACCAAATTCACCTGACTTCACAGAGGAGCAGAAGGTAATCATTACATCTCTGTTTAACCTTCTGGACTGAAAAGTTAATTATTCAGCATTAAACAACAAGTTTTTCTCTTCCTCTTCTTTTCTGTTAGAAAACGTTGGGAAAGATTGCAACATGCCTGGAGATGAGATGTGCCAGTTTGCAGGTTTGTGTCATATTGTACAATGTATTAAATGTTCACACGATTTGTGATCATTGCTATCATCTTTATTTTAAATAGTCAAAAGCTAACACATGAAAGGAATTTAATATCCATATTTTTCATGACTCTTAAGTCTAATTACACAAAAGTGGACATGACTACAAGGCAGAACATATAACAGGAAATGGCCCGATGTTTACATCTTAAACAGGATGGTAAATTGGAGACTAAAAAAAGTATTATCTTAAATAAAATCAGAGGAATTTTTGGGAATAGTTTTTTGAATGATGATGTAACGAGTCCAAACCCCCTTAAATGTTTTGACTGTCCGCATAAAATAGCGATTTATCCCAAATTTTAAAACGTACTCTCCTGTACTCAAGTTTTTTTGTTTTTCTTAGTTTTTGTCTCGTTCTTGATAGAGGCAGGGTGGGTTAAAAAAACAAACAAAGGAATCTGAAATGCAGTGTACATGTGAAGTGTTCCTTAACTTAAAGGTCCTTAAAGGGTGTTCATTTTCTTTTAAATGTTTCTATATTGATAGTTGTTATTAGTTTCTTCATGTTTTCTTTAAAGAAGAAACTCTTCCCTGTGTGATGGTTTAAATTGTAATCATCTTTTGATTAAGATTAAGATTTAAGATTTACTTTATTGATCCCTGCAAGGGGAAATTTCAGTTTTTACACTCTGTAAGTCATGAACACACACATGCAGAAACAGGATCCTATGGACATGCACTAAAAGGTGTGGAGATGCCGGGGGAATCAGACAACTGTAAGTAAAGAAGATATCATCAAACGCCTAAAAAATCTGGACTATATTTCTTATAAGTTCACTTTGATAAATAGGGGGGGAATAAAATATCAACATGGCAATACGTCGTTGTGTGATGTTGGATCGCTGGGGCCAAATATCGATATTTTAATACAAACATGAATCAAACTGATTTCCCTGGCAGTTTGATGAACCATGTCACCCATTACATGTATGAGGGCAGCGTGAAAGTTAGCTAATTGGTTAAAGAAGAGGCTGACAGGCAGATAAAGGGAGCAGAAGAAGACAGCAGGAAAAAGAAGTTAAAAGATGAAGCGTGATAAGAAGTGAAACTGAATTGAAGTTGCAGTGAATAAATACTTGAATCCTGCACTTGTGCGTTTAGTATTCTTGGGTTGATCAGATCATGTGATGTATCATTATGGGATCGTCTTACAGTACTTAAATGATCACAGAATCACTGCGTCCTGATATTATCGTTATTGTTGGACCATCTTGTGAGTGACCAAGCGATCCTCACTCCTATTTCTAAATGTGTAAAACGTTAACTGTGTCATGTTTCTGTCCCTCTGCAGTGCACACAGTCAACAGAGGAGTTCAAGTTAGAGGAACTGAAGAGACTGGAAACCAGTAAGTGGAGTGAATTGGGGGTTAAAGTGTAATCCTGTTGTCATGACGGCACAATCTCATTTGAACTTGCTCTTTTTGTCAACAGTAATTCAAAATACTCTGACCTACAACAAAGAATTCCCCTTTGACGTGCAGCCTGTGCCCTTAAGGTAAACATCCATCATGAAACATCTCACTGTTTGAAGGATGTGGTTTACAGTGTTTCCTGCTTCTGCTTTAAAGTTCATTTATTAACTTTGGATTAATGTGACAGAAACATCTCGGGGCAAAGTTCTCTAACTACCTTTCATGAAACTAGTAACTGTTTGAAATCGTCTTGTCATACCATTTATCCTCCTTTTTTGGAGTTAAAACTGAAAGGGAGTGTATTTTTTTTTTAACGCATATCTTTTCTTCCTCTGTACGCTTGGAAAGTTTACACTGAACCTTTTTTTTTTTAGCAGATATTTGACATTTCTTGTCATGTGAAAAGCTGATCGTGTTTGATCTTTTTACTCTATGTCTATCCTCTTAGTATACAGAAGATAAATAACATGATGCCACACGAGGAGACATCGGACAGTCAAACAATGATGAACACCTAACGACACATTGGGCACATATTGTCAAAGAGGAATATCTGTAGAATAATAAACCAACAGCACAAGTGACATAAAGAAAGTTAGCAATGTTTCCTAAATGAAACGTCTTTCTTTGTTTACATTGCTTTCAAACATAATAAGATTGACTGTGATTGATATAAATGTTATGAGACGCTAGTGAAGAAGAATACATTCTACTGCATGGATGGACTTTTAATTACATATTCAATATTTCTTTTTTGGATTTATTTTGGGGCTCGATTTTGACTGTAATTTATTATTTGATTTAAACCCTTGTGGTTAAAATACATATTAACAAGGACTTCAATCTAAAGCGAGCACAAGCTAAAAGAAGATTAACTCGCTCTTGCTCTCTCGTGTCATGTGGATTAATTTCACATTTATATTATTTTCATTTTTATTCTTCTCCACATAAGAAGTGACTAAAGAAGCTGTTTTTTTTTTTTCTTTCTCCGTGTCAGGAAAATCCTAGCTCCAGGTGAGGAGGAGAACCTGGAGCTGGAGGAGGAGGACGATGCTGCAGCAGGAGCAGGTTCTACAGAAGCGTTCCCCCCGCGAGCCCCCGGTAACGTTCAACAACTAAATCTCAGGCGAACTAATGCCGTTTTGGTTTGTGATGTTGTGCGTCCTGTTTCTGTTGTGGAGGGCTGTTTGATTGTGTGTCTCATTGTGTTCTCTCTGTCGGTGCCGTGCATGGCTTCATCCGCTCATTCCTGCTTCATTTGCAGCTTCACAAGGTACGGCTTTTATCACCTGACGGCGTCTCAACCTGTTCTCTGCTGCATGACAGGCGTGTGTTTTTTTTTTGTGTGTTTTTTTTCACATGCACTGTATTTAGCTAACAGGTTTGACTTCACCCATTTAAGGCTATTTTATGTCGATCTTGTGACTTGGAAAAAAAATAATACTGCTTCAATTTAAAGATAAGACGCCTAAATGTTAAAAGTCATCAATAGTTGAAAGCTACCTAAACAGAAGCTCAAACCATCAATAGTTACTTCACACTAAATACTGGATTGAGATGGTAAAAAAAAATATTCTACTTAAATTGTTTTCTGCCTCTGGTTTATGTTGAGCCATCGTGATGTCACCACCTATCGTTATGGTTACTGATTAAACCTTTGTCCCCTCCAGGTACCTTGTTGCCACGGTTACCCTCAGAGCCAGGGATGACACTACTTACACTAAAGATTGAAAAGATTGGGTTGAAGGATGCCGGGCAGTGCATCGATCCTTACATGACCATCAGTGTCAAAGGTAATGATCCCATCTCATTGTGCATATTTCATAAGATATGATGTCAGGCTTAAAGTGGTGAGACCAGCGCAGCTCTCAGATCACAGCCTCACCCTTTGTCGCTACCCTCCTGTCTTCTTTTAAATAAAACCACTTGAGTGCTTTAGAAAGGTTGTTGAAAGGCAGAAGAATATCTGCCAGAGCAGTCCTTACAGAGTTTGTCTGTCAGCTGTTATGAGATAATACTGTTCTGTGTTTATCCTGCAGATGTGAACGGTGTAGACCTGAACCCGGTGCAGGACACCCCTGTGGCCTCCAGGAAGGAAGACACCTACATCCACTTCTCTGTGGACGTGGAGATCCAGAGACATGTGGAGAAAATACCGAAAGGTAACACACGGACAATTCATCTAAAGTGACATACTGTTAATATAATAACATCATTTTTTTTTTTTTTACATTTTCCACAGAGAGAGATTCACAATTAGTGACATGTTTCACTGTAGAATGACAACAGTATGAGATTTTTCATCAGAAGGCTCTACCTTAGAACAGAACTGGTCAGCAAAAATAAAGGATGCACCACTTTGTCCACAGGGGGCGCCAAAATCGACATGTTCTGGAAGTTTCTCAGGCAGGTTCAATATCATTGGTTAAAACTGAAATGCACTCAAATATAAGGAAAGTACGACTTAAGATCCATTCATCCATCCATTATCTATACCACTTTTTCCCATTCTGGGTCACAGGGGTGGGGGGGGGGGTGCACACTGAATATACAAACTCTACACAGAGAGGTACTGATTTAAACCAGGAGCCTCCTCTCTGTGAGGCAACAGCCCACCACCAGAAGTTGATTTTTTTTCTTTCTGGGATGAGCAAACACATTTCTGTGGGATTTGTTTGAGCTTAAGAAAATGTACGATAAGGCCGATGTTATCCTTTGAAGCTGTGAGGATCTTGACGTGCATGTGTGCAGAATTTTTTTTCCTCAACAAAGAGCACTCTGTAGTTTCAAAGAGATAACACCACTGATGATGTTATGCCTTCTTGTCATGCTTCACATTCCTCCAGGAGCAGCTATCTTCTTTGAGTTCAAGCACTACAAACCTAAAAAGAGGTTCACCAGCACTAAATGCTTTGCCTTCATGGAAATGGACGAGATCAAGCCGGGCCCCATCGTAATCGAACTGTAAGTCAACCAAAACTACTACTTCTTTTTTTTTTAAATTCAAGGATTCCTTTTTACATCTTTTTACACATTAAATATACAAATTCTTCAACTGCAGGTATAAGAAGCCCACGGACTACAAGAGGAAGAAACTGCAGCTCTTAACAAAGAAACAACTCTATCTTCATCTTCACCAGACGTTACACAAAGACAGTTAAGTCCCAGCACGTCTGGATTTTTGAACCACGTCTGTAAGTCTCTCTCTTACATCCACACGGTGCAAAATGTGGTGGTCCGCCTCCTCACATCCAGCAATACTAAATCAACCTCATAGTCTCTCTTTTTTTTTTTTAACAAGTATATGAAGAAAGCAAAGGGAGATGAGCTCAGACCACCATATTACTTTAGCTTTTTTATTCTCTTGTTACATTTTCATATCCCTCCTGTTGTTAGAAAACTGTCTTCATAAACAAAAAATAAAACAAAACTGACTCTAAAGCAGGTTTATGTTCGAACAGCCAAAACCACATCTTCACCAGTCTTCCTCAACTCGCAGCTTTTTTTTTTTTTTTAGGAAACAGGACAAAAAGTGAGTTATTGCAGGTGCTTCACCCGAGTGTGTTTTCAATTTGACTTACTCACTCGGTGTTGGTGCTGTTGGACTCTTGACTCTTAAGTTTTTTTTTAGTTTTTTTTTTAAAGCAAAACATTAAAATACAACTAATATGTGGACTTGTCTGGGAAGTCATGGGAGAGTTTGCAAAGAAACACTGAACGATATCACGTCAGAGCAACATGGAGTGCTCTGTGGAGCCCCAAGAAGAAAAAGAATCCTGTCAAAATCCACTCATGGCTTCAAGAGTTTGAACGTGCCATAATTAAAGACTTTCATGGTGTGCTATTATTATTATTATTATTATTATTAATAATAATGAGATCAATTTAACAAACTGACCCACAAAATGAGTCATAAGAATCTATGTAAAAGAAGAAAATTGTATTCAATAACCATATTCATCTTCTTGCTTAACTGACTGATTTAAATTTTAACATTTTATAACAAAGTTCATTTTTAAAGTGTTAAATAAAACGTGTTAATCCATTTACTGCTGTCTGACTTCCATGAGCAGAGTATTTTTTAAACATTTAGTCTCCGTTTTGTGCTTTCTGTTGTAAACTCCAAATCAACACGTTTTTTTTGACCACAGTAGTGCAGAAAATCGTTACTTTTAAAGATAGTCATGAGCATCGTGTTTAAACATCCAGCAGACATGGAGCAACATCAGCGAGGCGTTTTTTTGTGTGTGTGCCAATTTTCACTCTTTTTGTTCTACTTTGGTCTCCACCACCGTTTTGAAGGAATTATCTGGCTTGTTGCTGACCAACTAGCTGCGAGCTTTTTGTGGATGCTGTGGCAGGAAAGTGTGCAGCGATCCACTAAACTACGGTGGCCAATGAGGGCAAACAATTAGCAACAGCTACAACGATTTGACATGAGAAAAGACTTGCAGCAAACTCGTCCACCATCTCGGTGGCCTGGAGCACTTCCGTTGACGACTCAGCGGATATCGTTTTTTACTTTGCAACTATGGTGCAGTTTCAGCTTATGGCAGCATGTTTTTTTTTTTCATTTGCGGCACCTTTACATACCGGTAGTTGGATTTTGTGGACTTGAGCACGTTTATGAATTTGTATCGTTGTATCGAATTTGCTGCATGATTTTCATAATGTAAGTCGACTCGGCCACTGCAGATCGTTTGTCCTCGTCAGCTAAGTTCTTAACATGAATTCTGATCATATATAAAAATAATATTCAACATTAAAAGTCAGATTATTCCTGTTGGCACACACAGACTGCATAGTGGGCTTTTGTTTAGTCACAGACTGTATTTAATTCAGCATTCACTTTTTGAAATGTTAGAAATGAAAATACATGTTTGTCTGTTTCGTTTATGGTTTTAAAAAGTTTTGTTTACTTTGTCATAATAATAGATCCCAAAAATGATAAAAGGCCAGAGTTACGCACTCAGCGACCCTGTAGCTTTTAAAGCATAAATAATTAAAGTCCCATGTCAGTGTGTTATTACATCATAGTTTAAGAGTGTTTGAATTCTGATTTTTTTTTTTTTCCATTCTTTTGTTTAAATGAATTCAGAGTACATTAGATGTGGCATGATGTGGATGTGTCTGCATTCAGTGTGAGGATTTAGTTATTTGTTTTTATTCGGGTTTTTCCTAAACAAACAGAAATGAAGTGATCAACTGAAGATTATTCAGGTGTTTTTTTTGTTACTTTGCAGTTCAGTTGTGTTATGTCGTTTGATTCAACCAGTTCATGTGTTTAGTTTTTGAAGGGACAAGAATTTTGCACTCTGACATCTTTCTCTCAAGTTGCAGATCAGAAAAAAAAAAAAGCCTCGAACATTTTGACTTTTACATGCCACCCTTTTATAAAGCGCTTAAGAAAAAGAAAAGAGAAAGCAGTGTTACTTTCTGTTTCCATTCCGACTTTGCAGACGTTCTCCCTCACTGAAACGTCTCCATTGTGGTATTTGTTTTTCAGATTTTATTTTTGTAACGTCACACTTTTCAGGACTGTAAATTAACTCGGATACACTAACTGATGAATATAACAAGTGTATGTATGAAGCGCTATGATTTGGTTGGACTGAGATCTGTGGAGTGTTCTGAGTTCGGTTGAAACTGACGGGAATTGTATCAAAACATTTACAATGCTTTTCATTTTTAATAAACTACAACTGAAGCCGTTTGGTGGATGATTTCATTCAGAAAACCAAAACATGTTGCTCATTTATTTGGCGTAAAGTATCTGTTAGAGCCGGACCGATTCATCGCCCAGCCGATAATATCGGTTGATATTAGCATATCAAGTGACTCTGTATCGGCTAATTTTATCTCAGATATGTGACGATATTACTAGATTTATTCACCAGTTAAATAGCATTTGATTTGAGTATAGTTAAATAACACTAGCAGTCCCCTTCTGGCTGTCACCAGCAGTGTGCTTTAGGCATTATCACTCTTCAGAGTGTCAAGCGGTGATGCACGTACATTTCCTGTTGAGTTACCTTCTGGTCTACGTTCTATCTTTTTGACCAGTGTGTGATAACTGCATTTGAGAAATCGACACAATAAATGTTTATATCTATATCGCTCCATCTCTCCAGATCAAAATAGAGCGAAGAAAGGTATCGGTATCACATTTTCTTTCCTCACCAATATCGATATCGGCCCCTAAAAACTCATCAGTTGGGCCCTAGGAACAATGGAGGCAATAGTTTCCTGTGTTTTAGTCAAAGCTGGGAAGGACTGAATCTGCCAAAATAAAGAAATGAAGTACTCTCGTAAGTATCATATCAACCAAAAAGAATGTTTTCAATGTAAGAGGGAAAATTTGATTTTTTTGGCAAGAGGTCCACGGGTTGGTGGGGGTTGAAGAGTTGGGGTGGGATGTGATTTCAGTATAAAAAGGGGCACATGGTTAAAATGTTTGTAAAAGGAAAACACTGACTACATCTCGTGTAATGTATACCATGGACTTGCATCAATAAAAATGAAGAATCATTTAATAAAAAGTAAACAAAATGGATTTTTGCTGAAATCGACTTCATCTCCATCAATTTCTGTATTTATACCCACTCCTATCAATATCAACATTTAATGTTTGGTGGTTCAGTCAAAGGCATTTTAATTTATTTATCAAGTTGTAGTTTTGCAGAAATCGTTCCCAATAAAAAGTGAACACACAAAACCAAAAAGTCAAACAGATGGACAGAAGTGATTGATGTCTGTAGATATTTCTGAGAAGCTAAGCAGCATGCAGGTTTTGGATGAATTAACAAATCAACTTTGAATAACAGAACTGATTGTTAAGGTTTCAGCTAGGGAGCAGATGTATGCCTTATTTTTTTCCAAGTAAAGCAAAGGCGTTTAGACATATTGGAAAGTACACAGAGCTTTTGTGTAACCAGCTGATAATATAACACTGACATTTTTTACATTCTTTATTATTAAAATTTCTACCAACATAGTAAAATAAGTTATACATCTGGCCATCAAATCACACATTTGCTTTACAGTCTGTTCAAAAAGCAACCGCTTTGGGAAAATGATGGTATTCCTGAAATGCTAGAAGCTCCTTCCTTTTTTTAAGTAATTTCCACAGGAAATGACATTTAAAAAATTGCCCCTTAAAAATCATTGCTATATATTCTTTTAAGATCAACAAAACAGAAATTCCTCTGGCGTAAAATTAATTATTATTGCACGATAAGCTGTTTAAAAAAGTGGCAACCCTTTTAAATTCACATCGATTTCCGACACATAATGATTGATGATGCTTTAATTGAAGGACCATGTTTCTTTTTCAACAAACATCATTGCAGTTTTATTTTTAGAACTGAATCATGATCTACGTGTTTGGACTGGATCTGGGTTGTTAATGAGTTTGGGGGTAAATTCAAGTTCAAGTCCTCTGCCGCAGCTGGTGGCATTTTTAAGGCTTGACCATTGCTGGCCTCCCTGAGTCCTGAGGGGCCTCCTGCCTCCCATGTTGGCCCTGTCCGGGGCCACTGTGGGCTAGCGCTGAGTTCTGGAGGGCATCGGGTGGAGCCTGACCGTAGGCGTCACCAGGATGTGCAGGATGGGGAGGGACACCTGGAGGGAGGTTCATTGGTGGGCTGGTGTGGTCACGCAGGCCTGGGAAGCGCATGTCTGGAGGCATGGGTAGACGCGGTCCCATGGGTCCACGGATACCTAGACAAGAGGGTTAAATATGAATGATAACGTAGAGATAGAAAGGCTGAAAAACATCCTAATACTCAAGAAAACAACCAACAAACTGAAGCACCTCATGGCTTTGTTTCAATAATGTTCAGCTACTTGCTGCTGATGCTGTGCTGAACTCATATTCCCTACAACTTAACATTTTGCTAAAATAACGACTATTTCTTAACTTCCAATCACACCAGTAAGTAAGCTCTGCCCTCAAAAAGGTACAAAAGAATCCCCGAAACTCAATCATCCCCAAACACTAAAGTTCAATGTGTTTCTTAAAACCACGTTGAAAATAACTCCAACAGGCTGAACGCACCATGAGGAGGCATCGGTCCAAAGTGATGAGATGGTGGGGGACGGAAGTGTGGGGGAGGGGACCCGAGGATCAATGACATGTCCAGGGCCCGGCCTGGGTAGGAATGTGTGTCCATTGGCGGGCCAAGGTCCAAACTCTCCTCCCATTGGTCCAGACAAAGGCATGCCTGGGTGCCCATTGGCTGGTAGTGAAGGTCCATGAAGAGGAGGAGGTGCATTAGGAGGAAGAGGACCATGAGGTCCTGGTGGGAGGTGGTAGGGTCCCGATCTTGGAGGTCTGTAAGCCCCAGGAGGAGGCAGTCGCCCATGGGGTCCAGGAGGGAGGATCTGGTCATGGGGTCCAGGGCCAGGAGGAGGTCCCTGACCCATTGGGCCTGGCGAGTCCCTGATCGGAGATGCTAAGAAGGATCCAGGGCCCTGAAGAACAGACAGATTGTGAGAACGAGTCCTGTGCTGGATTTTCAAATACAACACCTAGAATGAGTCTGTCCTGACACCAAGAAGAGATGGAAACTCGTTAGTCATGCTGTAAGAAATCCACAAACCACAATTTCAATCCCAACAAAAAGTGCTCAATCACATGACCAGTAACCACACACTTTGATTATTTGGATGAAAAAAAAAAAAAACAACCCAAGTATCCAACAAACTTTTAATCTAATGTTTCAATAGTTGCTGCGTCTGATGAAACCACACACATAGCCAAAAAGTTTAAGTCAGCCCCAGTGTTACAAAATGCCAGGAATCTCTCTTCACAACTCCAGATCCAGCTTTAGAGAAAAAGGGGTTGGACACCGTCACACCTGGACTGAACAGCCTCTATACTCACAGGCTCTGGACTGTCTGTGGAGGCATCAGTCACTGTCTCGGCTTTTATTTGTGGATCTACTTCCTGTGTCTGTTTTAGAGCAAGGACAGACACAACGGACACTTGTATAGGAGGGTCTATGCCTTCACAATATGGAGGGGAGGAGGGTAACATCAAAAAAAAAAAAAAGACGAAAGAAAAGTGTTCTGATTTGAAAAAGACTTACAGATCCGTCCATGTTGGCAGGCGAGGAGCTTCGGGGGCCCATCATGTCTGAATGAGGAGACACAGCACAGTGTTACAGGAAGGTTTTCAAAGTGAAGGTGAACTCTTGAAATTCAGAGACTGAGGACGACATACCCATCCCAGAGATGTGTCTGTTTTCAGCGTAGCGACCGTGTGGGTCTGATGGAGGTCGTGGACCTGAGGGGGGGAAGAAAACGAGACCAATCTAAGAATGAAATCCATCAAGACTCTGCCGTCCACTTACCGAGGGGATGAAGAGAAAACCAACTTTTAACAAGTGTAAAGATTGGTCATCTTAGTCTGTGAGACAAAAGACAGAGGGACAACGTATTCTGGATGACTTAAAAGCCCCTGAAAACTTGGTTTCAAATTGAATTCCTTTTTTCTCTTATACATTACTAAATACAAACCAATTATTAAATCATGAGGGAAAATTGTTTGGTATTATTCATGAATACATTCTAATGATCACGCTTTACACGACTGCGTGGATTTATAGATGGACGCTGTTTTAGAAAACATGTTTTTAGGGGCTTTGAGGAACAAAAGGTGAAGAAAATTCAACAGAAACACAAAACTTCAAAATAAAGGAAATGTCTTAATGATTCGATTAAACAAAACAAGAGCATGAAAAGGGAGTTGAAGGCAGAGGACCAGAAGGTTGCAGGATGTAATACAGACTGAGAAGCAATAAAAAGAAGAACACAAGCAGGTGAAGGAGCTGAAAAGAATAGTGAAGTCAGGTGCACAGGAAGGTGAAGATTTCAGAAGACGGTAAAAGAGGGATGATGCCCAGCTGTAGAAGTGGACAGTAATCCATCAGAACTCACCATACGGGTCAATCCTTCGCCCCACTGGGGCTGAGGGAGGGCGCCTGGGGCCCTCTATCATTATCGGAGGGGACGGTGCACCCCCACTCACAGGAGAGGGGCCATATGAATCACCTGTTTTGATCAAACCATCCGTTTACCAAAAGGAAAAGAAAGCACTAAGAATACCCAACAGTCTTTGCAAAGATGTAGTCCTCGCTCCAGGCTCAGAGAAAGTCAACATGTACAACCACACAAAAGAACTGGAATCCTTTTACCCATTCAGCATAAAATAAGGCATAAAAGGGCATGCAGGATTTCATCAGAGAAGAGCCTCCTCCGTCTTCTCAAAGCTACGTAGGACGATGAATATACCAGTGGAGAAAAAAAAACAACAGTCAAGCTGTGAGGACTGCTTACCTTGGCGAGGGCCTGCAGGCTGTCCAGAGTTTGGTCTGAAGAGAGGAGCACGGCGCTCATTCAGCTGCGAGGTCAAGACAGCAAGTCTGCAAATGGGGGAAAAAAACGATGTAAATGTTTACCATGGGTGGGCAAGCTTTTATTTTTATTATTGAGTAATCAGCTCAGTATATCGGAAGATCTCCCAGGGGGCTTCAGCAAGTTGTTCCTACTGTCCAACCAACAATCTCCAAGAAAATACTTATATATAAAAAATTGACGACTATATTAAACAGAGAAGAATAGCAAAGTGTTACGATTGAGGAGATGAACTAAGTGTATTTTTTGTCATTTTAGCTTTAAAAAATAATTTTCTAATAAATGTTTCCA